ATAGGGTGATCATGAAAATTGAAGGCAGTCTTGCAGAATTGCTTGTGGAAATCGAACCAGACCACTTACAACCCATTCCTTGTCTATGAGAAGGGTAGACCTATCCTCTACGTTGTGGTACTGAAGGCAACTTTATGGAATGTTCATTGCAAGTTCTACTTTGGTACAAGGCATCCGCAAGGATTTGGAGTCTATTGTTTTTGTATTCAACCCCTATGATCCTTGTGTCGCCAATAAGATGGTCAATGGCAAGCAACAGACTATCCGTTTCCATGTCGACGACCTCATGTCAAGTCATATGATGCCAAGTGAATGACGATTTCCTGGCCTGGTGCAACGAGAAGTATGGTACACTACGGTGCTGTCAAAGCAACCAGAGGACCCAAGCCACGACTTATCTACGGAATGCGAGGAGTTATATTCGGAGCCTGCAAGTCAAGATTCGATATGATTGATATTTGACACAAGGTGCTCGAGGAGTTCACTGTAAACCTTTGAACATGTCCTTCTGTTCCGAGTGCAGCCACAGTGATTGTTTTCTGTGGGTAGACGGTGACAATCTGGACCATGACACGAAGGATACCCTCCACACGAAACAGCCAAGTTACTCTTCGCCTGTAAACGTGGCTCGTCCAGACATGCAGACATTGACTACCGTCCTTTGTAACCGGAGTGAAAACAGACCTAACCAGAACCGATTGGGAAAACCATTCTCCAAGGCCAGTCACTAGATAGTATTCAACATGACTTTGAATGACAAGCTATCCTCAATGCTGACGACTTTCGTATTATCCGATGGTGGGTTGACGCGAGTTTTACTTTCATCCCGACTATCGATCCCATACTTGGGAAGTGCTCAGTTTCGGCGCGGGTCCCCATTGCTTTGTCTCAGAAACAGAAAGCTTAACGCCTACAGCAGTACCGACGCCGAACTCATTGGAGCCGCCGAATCCAGTTGACTATGGATGTCAATTAGGCAATCCTTAGTTATGTGGAACCAAGGTATCTTCATGGAGGCTCAAGTGTTGATGTATTCAGGATAACATCTCTATTATAAGACAACAAGAGTGCTCCATTCCGGCTGAAGTGAAGCAGCGCCGGTAAGCGTACTCGTGCTCTGTAATGTGCTTTCTTCTTTATTCACGACCAAGTGAAGCAGGGAAATGTACGAGTGGTGTATTGTCCCACACAGGACATGCACGGGGACTTTCTCACGAAGCCCCTTCAAGGTGCCCTATTCCATGCGCATCGCGCTTTTATTATGGGGCATCCTCCCATTTAGTTTAGTTTTAATCGTTCCGTGGATCCATTAGGGGCCACGGCAGGAGTGTGTTGGCCGGTCTAGATATTTAGCGGACCCGGATAAGAAAAAGACCGCACCACCGTAGGAATTTAAGGAAACTGGCATTCTCAGATCCAGACTTCAAAGCGACCAGCCAGAAAGATCACTTTTTCTTCACAGCTCGCCCAAATCAACAAATTAACCTTGATATTACTAGTAGCTGCAGTGTTATTAGACCCAACAAACACTCAGAGCCAGGTCACTCAGAAGGAGGGCCACGGTCGGACAAGGAGGTCCGTTAAAAGAAGGAGCGCTAAGCAGAGTAAGTAAGTAAGCATGGTCGACGACTAGGACAAGCTCGACGACCACAGGAGTGTGTTGGGGATTCGCGATTAGGGATTCAACCTGTACCTCTGTACTAGAATTTGATGCCAGTAGAAAAAGCCAAGGAACCCACTTTTTCAGTAGTATCTCAATAGACAACAGTAACAACTAAGAGAGCTTAGAGCAACTAACATTGACTTGATGCCCACCGCGGACCAAATTGGCATTTTGAAAACTCACTTTGCGCGCAAGATTAAGGAAGCTGCTGCGGGTCCATCAGGGACATACCAGCTTCACACTGACCTGCTTGACCTAGTGTATGGCCCCAACCTGTTTCCTGACCCATCAAAGGAAGAAGAAAGGGATGCTGCGTATGTGATTTGGAAGTTTGATCACTGCAATACCATTTACGAAGAAACAGTAACCTATCGGGAGATGCGCCTATACGCTCTTGCATGCTACAAGGTGATAGCTGACCATGTTCCTGACAGCAATGCCTATCATGGTAAGAAGGTGAGCAAAAATCAGGTCACTAAGCGGGCAAAGACAAGCCGCACAGACTACGCCTTCGGCCAGAACTTCCTGGGTCTCATTGCCTACAGCTGTGCCTTGGGGTTCTCAACAATTGAAAGGTGCATGGATTTGTCTAGTGTTGAACACTCAGAGGAGGCAATTTACTGGTGCTTTGTTGTGCCACTGGCTTTGTTTATGTTCAACCACATGGATCCAAAGTTGAAGGCGCAGAAGGGTGGGAGTTATACATGGGAGGGAGCCACCACCACTGAACTGGCTGAATTCGTTCGCAATCTTATCAAAAGGGTGAAGATTGGTGTCTGGAGTCCTGAATGGCTGGCGAAGGCACAGGATGGTGTCTTGCACAATGATTCCTGCAAAGGTCTGGACTACACCTACTGTCGGCTGAGCATGCTGATTGTTTCAGGCTTTCCCACAGCCCAGAACATTCGGGATATTTCAAACAACCCCAACTACATCACTGAGAAACAGAAAGAGGACCTAGGAAAGGACCTCAGCGAATTTGTGAGATCCAGATTCCCCAAACTAGCACTGGAAGGGATTGCCCCCCTTGTCAAACGCAAGGGATCTGGAAAAAAAAGAAAGAGAGGGTAAAAAAAGATCCCTTTAGATAATAGCTCTGCTGTACTTTGCATTGCCGAAGGCATAAAACTTAACATATAATTTCTTATTTCTTATTTCTTACTTCTTATTTCTGAGTGATAGATACCCTTCTTATTTCTGAGTGATAGATACACTTGCTGGCGCAGTGGTGGAGTGATCAGCAAAGCAGAGCTAAACAAGGCGGAGTGCTAAGCAAACTGAAACCAGAGCCATAAGCCAGCCGGTTGACAAATTACCAACCGGCTGACTTTCTAAGCAAATCTCCTTGCTGGCGCAGTGGTGGAGTGATCAGCAAACCAGAGCTAAACAAGCCGGAGTGCTAAGCAAACTGAAACCAGAGCCATAAGCCAGCCGGTTGACAAATTGCCAACCGGCTGACTTTCTAAGCAAATCTCCTTTAGACTGCTTAGAACTCTTCTGAGAAAGGCTGGCTGCAAGACTCCGGGAATGGCTGACTGCCACTGCATGAACAGTCCTGACTGCTGCAAGAACAATCCTCGTCCCATTCAAAGTCCTTCCTCTGCACATCGGCTGGTTCAATTGAAACCCTAGGGATCTTGGCCTTTCTACCGGCAAAGTCCTTTGCCGTGCTAGCTCTCTTACCAATGGGGTTATCTTTGATGTGAGTGGCGGACTGTACGTCTCCGAAGAACTGAGAGGCATACTGAGTAGGGAACTGAGAGGCTGACTGAGTTGGGACCTCTTCATCCTCCTCTTCATCCTCTTCATCCTCGTCCCTCCTGTACTCGCCATTGGCAACAGTGGTAGTTACATTGGCAACATTTACATTGGCAACAGCGTTGGCTTCCACATCTTCATCTTCCGTAGTGATTACATCTTCCTTGTACTCTGCCAAATCCTTGTACTCTGCCAAATCAGAGAGAGAGAAAATAAGCTTTCCCTCTGCCGCCAACTGACCAAGTTTGGCCATGACTCCTTGGTTGCTGGGATCTGTGTAACTGGGATCTGTGTAACTGTGCTCTTCTGTGTCACTGTCACTAGGACTGCTGCTGCTGCTGGTGTTCCCCATAGATTTAGTATTAGTGGATGGGATGGCTTTCTTGTCACTGTCACTGTCGCTGTCACTGTCACTGTCACTGTCGCTATCACTGTACCACACGACTGGTTTGACTGCTGTGGCTTTGGCTGCTGTGGCTTTGGCTGTGGCTTTGGCTGCTGTGGCTTTGGGTTTGAGAGTAACAGTAGCGACTTCATTGACTTTTTTGACTGTGGCTACTACTTCATTGACTTTTTTGACTGTGGCTACTGCGGCTACTTTTTTAACTGCGGCTCGGCAGGTCCATTTTGTATACTTGCCCTTCATGATCTCATCCACTTCCTTCGTCATCTGATTTATCAGGGCCCATCCTTTATGGTCATATGGCTTAATTTCAATGTACTTGCGGTAGTATTCTTCGTCAGAGGAATCATGGTCAGAGTCAAAGTCCCTAATTGCCCGCTTCATTGCCTGTCTCTTCTTCTCTTTGGCAGCCTTTGCAGCAGCAGCTGCACGAGCCTTGGCTTCTTCCTCCTGTGATTTCTCCTCCTCACTTTTGCGGGGTATGTCAGCAGGATTGGGAAAGTCAAATCTCAAACTCTTGGGTAGTAAGTGTGCTCGGAAAGCAACATTACTTAGGGCATGTTCAATAACACAAGCAGACACATTGACTTTTCTGTATCTGATTGCCAAAACTTGGCACCTGATTTTATCAATGCTGGTTGTTAGATTGTCCACCAGTTGTTTCTTGCACTTGGGTCGTTTGATCATTTGGTTCTTGACCACCTTCCTGAGTATGGCCTTTGCCTCCAAAGTCTTGGTCACACATGGCATGAGGTGGCACTTGGTGCAGTGAAGATGATAGGGAGCACTTGGATCAGCGTAGTCTTCAATGTAGTCAGGTGGCCTAAAGACAAGTCTGCCCTCGGTCAGCTCATATTCCATGTTATCGCATGCCAGAGCTTCCTCCTGTTCGATCTCTTCAAAGAAGTTAGTGTAGGCATGTGGACGGTGATTGGGTTTGGCAATAGCTTTGGCTGATGATTTGGCAATAGCTTTGGCTGACTCAGTGGCCTCATACATGAGGCGACGAGCGGTTGACTTTGGCTTTTCGAATGGTCTGTATGGGAAGCACTCCTCCTCAATACTTTCCCTATCCTCCTCATCCATCCACCAGTAATCTGGAGGGGGGTTTCCAGTCTTTGCAATGACAATTCTTTTCACCTCCTCCTTGTCGTGGGGAGATGACCATTTGTGGTAGTTCTTGGGAAGATGAGACATCCTTGCTAGAGGTTCGAATGCAGTGCTTGAAGAGGGCTGAGTAAGTGCTTGAGCTATCTTTGTGTTTGTGAGCTGATTGTGAGCTGATTGTGAAAGGTGAACGGAGAGGAAGAGGAGACATGAATATTTGAATAGATTCAAACTGTCAAAGTTGTTGTTCGTTGCCCTGAGGTTTCTCTAAGTGACAGGAACTTCGTGCCACTAAGAGTTGGCCTGTCAATAATGGGACTGGACTAATCCAACTGGGATTCGACTCCTCTACAGAGATTTTGTACTAGAGCTACTAGACACTAAAACTTCGTGCCAACAGAAAGATACGGTTGGTGCAAACTGTTATTGCAAACTGTTATTGTTGTTGGAGCAACTGTCAGTTGCTCCGACACAACAAACACTCTCACTCTCTTGCGCTGCTGCTGCTACTACTACTACTACTACTACTACTACTACTACTACTACTACTGCTACTGCTAGTACTGATATGCCACAATGCTGATACCAGTTACGGACTACTACTACCAGCCAACCAGTCAACCTTTTTGAATTTGAATTTGAACAAGGTCGGAGGGTACGGCTACGGCTCACATCGTTCTCTGGTAATTCTCATAATCCCAGTCTCCTTCCCATACCATACTAAAATCATGAGAACCAAGCAGTCCGCACCCAGGGTGCATCCTGACTATCTTAAGAGAGTCAGACAAGCTGCTGCTGCTGCTGCAGCAGCAGAGGAAGCTGCAGCGGCACAGTCCAAGTCTAAGAAGAAAACTGTTTGCAAAGGCCCACCAGTTCTTGCTAAATCCAGTAGTAGGCCAGGGGATGCTGCAATCAGAGAGATTAGGACATACCAGGCAAGTACCCACTTGTTGATCCCCAAAAGCCAATTCCAAGTAGAGTGTCGTACAATTGCTCTTCAAATTGAACCAGACTTCCGGTTTCAGGGTAGTGCACTTCTAGCACTCCAGTGTGCTGCCGAAGATTACATGGTTGGCTTGTTTGAAGATTGCAACCTCTGTGCTTTGCACGCAAAGAGAGTTACAATTTTTACCTCTGACTTGAGGCTAGCACTACAGATCCGCGGTGATTGGGCCAAGTGGACATCCAAGCTCAAGAAGGTACTAAACGCTGCAAGCAGTAGGAATGCTAGGGTTGCAGCTGAGAAAGCTGCAAATGCTGCAAGGAAAGCAGGCATGAAAGCTGCCGCTGCTAGAGCCACGGAGAAAGCCCGCAGCAGGGCCAGGGCCACAGAGGAAGAGGAACATGCTGCTAGGGCCAGGGCCCAAGAGGAAGAGGAAGCCCAGGAGGAAGAGGAACAGGCCAAGGCAGCAGAGGCTGAAAAAAAGAGAGCTGAGGAGGAGGAAATGGAAATTGCAAGGAAAAGTGCCGCCCGTATGGAAAGGCGGGAGGCTTTGGAAAGGTCCAAAGCAAAGAAAGTTTAACACCCAGTTTAAGGGCCCAGTATGTGTAGCATGTGTAGCGAACCACAAGGACAACTTGGAAACCTAATATGTTAAAAGTGAATTTTAAAAGTGAACCAACTCGTCTAGAGATCCAAATTCGATTAGTGTCCTTCCTGTGAAGGGTGCAACACTGTCGTAGCACTTCATTGCATCAAGCTTGCAAGCTTGCAAACTTGGAAATCATCCATCCATCCAACCCCAGTCAATGCGTCTAGCACAAATTTGAGGCAGTTATCTGTGTCTGGTTTCATACTTATAGTGTACTCTGTGCTATTAGATTGTGATGCTTGTAATAGCTTTCCCTTGGGTCTGGTTCTGTTTCCGTTGATAAACATGTTTTGTGGAGGCCTCTTGTACAATCTCACCCTAACCCATACTGGACCTGCTGGTAAAATAGGTGGTTCGCCAATACCAATGCCAAGCTCACTCCTAGCTTCAGTGGCAAATCCGAGAATAGAGCTTATACTAGCAGTCCGTTGTATCTTTGCACCATGAGTCGACGTTCGTTTTACTTCAAGTTATGACACTGTTCGCTGCCCTTCGATGACACTGTACGGTAGCCGGCTACAATGGCTGGATTAACAATATTCGGTTTTTGTGCATGTAATTCGTCATCCACCAGGATCCAATACCCGAGGTGAGAACACCGAGTGCAAGAGAGCAAAGCCGACCTGAGTGTGTTGCGGGTACTGTTTACCCCACTGTCACCCGCTGCATCGAGTGAGCCTCTAACGGTAAGCTAGGCTAGTGGCTTGGATTTGACTAACCTGTTGTGGTAATGAATGTGCAGGTATTCGTCATAGGGATCGCAATGGGAGGTACCGGTAACTGTAGCGAGCAAAGTCCGAACTTTCGGTACTGCTTCCACTGTTGTGGAATGTAGCTATAAAGACCGCAGCAGCCGACTAACAATGGCTGGATTCAATCATTGTTGTCGAGATCTGGTGTCTGCCATCAAAAGGTAATTCGTCATAAGGATCACATGCATTAGATACCAGGTCCAGTAAGGAGCCGTTAGCGAGATGCAAAGCCGAGAAGCTCCAGAGCCTCGCAGTTCGCGTACAGACTCTGTCCAGTACTGCCTGTTTTTGTTTGTCCTTAGACTCAAGAAATGTATTTACTTTACGGCAGCTAGCTACAACTATGCGGATTTGGAGCGCAACTAATTCCGGCTCATCATTTTTTACTCTGTGAGTCATTGCTAGACTGTTAGGCTTGAAGGCAAAGGGATACATTGTGTTAGAACACGAGCGCTGCGCAAAAGAACTGTACCAGAATGGTTTTAATAGCGCCCACTTCCTTCGTAGCGCACGTACACTCAAAGTTCAAGAGCCGGCAATGAAGGTGCTGGCGCACAACTATCCACCACTTCACACTGGGACCTCGCTTTGGATCCCTTAGGTGTAATCCAACCTGTTTCCTCGGACCCATTGGTAAAGGGAAGAAAGGAAAAGGGATCTGCGAATGGTGATTGGAGTTTGAATCACTGCAATACCATTTACGAAGAAACAGTAACCTATCGGGAGATGCGCCTATACGCTATTGCATGCTACAAGGTGATAGCTGACCATGTTCCTGACAGCAATGCCTATCATGGTAAGAAGATCAGCTTTGTTTGCCCTTAAAAGAGTTTTGTAGCGCATCTACAAGACATATTTTTCTCAGCGTTCTATCAAAAATTTCGCCTGGGCCAGGTAAACACGACTAATATTTTAGGTAGCAATGGGAACCAGTCCGAGCCAAGCAAAGGGAGGATTGAACACAACCACGCAGAAGTTTGCCCCAACCATAGGCGCAGACCCTTAGACGGCAAAATCCTCATTTTGAAGCACGCCGGCATGTGTCCCATCTCCCAGCGATCACCTATTCCTATTGTTTTAGGAGTGCGTACTAGATGGCTGTCCTGGAGTCGGCACTCTTGTACACGGACGAAGGGATATTTTCTTACAAACATCAGATATTTGGGAGAGTGTGGAAGGGCTCGGCATATACTGGACTGTTTGTAACACTAGGTGGTTTACAGACAGCGATACCTATCTATTTACTTCAGAAAATGCAAAACGGGAGCGGACATTAGTTAAAACGTGAGGAGATATCAAAACAAATTATATATGATGTTTTCTATGGCGATCTATCTGGCCACTCGAGGTCACGTTGATGATCATTCTACCTGAACTGCATGATTCATCGTAAGGTTAGTTACCACAAATCAGAGTATCGAAACATGGGCGAGTGCGAAAAGCTAGGATAGCCGGTGGGCAGGTTTATACATGGGAGGGGTAACTCGATACCAGACCCAGACTAGATAGGTGCAGCGAAATTAGCTTAGAGGTCTGACGAAATTCTAGAGGTGTTAACTCGCGAGATCGTGATAAACCGAATCACGGTAACGATGTGTCCATAGAGAGTCTGCCACTAGTCGATCTATGGAGAAACAATTCGGGCAAACACAAGATCATGGGTAGACTAGCACCATGATTTGACACCTAGCACGAAAGGAGGGGGTATGAACTAGCGATACATTAAGTTCGGTCCTTTAATCATCAACTTTGCACAAAGTTTTAGTTTGCTTTGATCGTGTTCCTATTTCCAATCAGTTCCACTGAACATTTTCTGATATACCAATTATATATACGAGAGATCCCACACTACAATTTCAGAATGGCTACACGGAGAGACGAGAGGTGGGAGAGACTCAATGAGGCATAGGAGGAACTTTGTGGTTCTGTAGTCTTCGCAGGGTCGACGAGAGATCATGGAGTAGTATACACTCGCGAGCAGTGATTGTCGACAACATCGCACCAAAACGCTAGCTCGACAACACTTTGCGGTGCCGACAGGACGGGAACTGTTGGATCTCGCGCCGTCTTGCGACCACACTATACATTATTACAGACAAGGGATCTGGGAAAAAAAGAAAAGAGGAGGCGCTTATAATAAATAGGTCGAGATTCCCTTGACAGAAATACGCAGTACCTAGGACGATTATTGAACGCGCATCTTCGGGTGCTCGGCCCTGTTGCACCAAAGGACGGCAGTCCATATACTCAACTGGCATAGCCAATGCGGTGGCCTAAACTTCACATACAATTTGAGATCATTTGAGAGTACACATCTTTTATTTCTTTATTTTCTATTTCTGAGCGGCCCTGTAGCTCTCATTAGGAACGTGAGCACGCAGCATAAATCATCCTTGCTGCTTTCGGACGTTACTTTTTATTTTCTTCAGCATTAAACGAATTCACGAGGCGGGTCGCACATGGTGTCGGCTTGTCATTGAGTTCTAGCGATAGGAGTCAGAGGTAGAGTCCGATGTCACAGTATAAAGCCAGTGAGGACACTGTAATGAAGACAACATCGAAGGCATGTCGGAAAGCAAAGATCTCTCTGGATATACAGTACTACATTACAGCGTGCAATTTCACACGACGTGCAAGCAGGACATTAAAGTTTGTATCTCAGGAGAGCAACGAGAGAGGCTCCAGCGAGGCATATTCAATGTCTGCGTCGCTTATTATCACCCACAGCTCACTATTAGTATCTACGGCCGAACTCGTGGTTTCAATGGAGCATACACTTACTCTCTCAACAGCGGGCATGGATTTGCCTGACAAGGCCAGATGGAGATTATATGCCCTTCCAGGAAATGCAGCACACATTGGCATTAGGCACACGGAAACGATCCTTATGAAACAGCTGCAACGTCAGCTCGTCCTCGTAGAGAACTGCGACGCAGAGAAGGATGGAGCTTTAGCTCTCCTCGGACCGAAGATTTGCATTGAAGAATTGAGGTCCGTATCTCACTTACGTCGTCGCATACAGCGACAAGGAATAGCAATGCCTCGACACATTTTCAGAGAGAGCTTGGCTTTCCGAGCGCTAGTAAAACATCGCGCGCACGATTTGGTTCTACAAGGCACCAACGCTATCCTTACGAACTCTGAGTATGGGACACACGTCTTCTTTAGAGTAGGCCCACCTGAACCACGCCCCGGGCCTGGGTCCAACCCGGGAAGAATCTTAAGTCGACACTCTTAATACCATAATTGGCGGAGAGTCATAGAAGTTTGTGGAGCGCGGGGGTGACGTGGTTATCCAGAGATCGGTCTTCGAGGAAATCGGATAACATAGAAATGCAGGCTATACTTGGATGAGGGCTACGAAGACACTAGAGGCACTGAGCTAGGGAACTGAGGGCGACTGGTGGGACCTCTGTCAATCCTTCCTCTTCATCCTCTTCATCGTCGTCCCTCCTGTCCCTCCTCGTCCTCCTGTCCCTCCTGTACTCGCCATTGGCAACAGTGGTAGTTACATTGAACATTTACATTGGCAACAGTGGTAGTTACATTGGACATTTACATTGGCAACAGCGTTGGCTTCCACATTTACAGCTTCCACATTTACATTGGCAACAGCGTTGGCTTCCACATCTTCATCTTCCGTAGTTATTACATCTTCCTTGTACTCTGCCAAATCCTTGTACTCTGCCAAATCAGAGAGAGAGAAAATAAGCTTTCCCTCGCGCCAATGACCAAGTTTGGCCATGACCTTGGTTGCTGGGTCTGTGTTGGCTTCTGTGTAACTGTGCTCTTCTGTGTCACTGTCACTAGGACTGCTGCTGCTGCTGGTGTTCCCCATAGATTTAGTATTAGTGGATGGGATGGCTTTCTTGTCACTGTCACTGTCGCTGTCACTGTCACTGTCGCTATCACTTACCACACGACTGGTTTGACCGCTGTGGCTTTGGCTTCATTGACTTTTTTGTAGCTTGCTGTGCTTCTTCATTGACTTTTTTGACTGTGGCTACTGCGGCTACTTTTTTAACTGCGGCTCGGCAGGTCCATTTTGTATACTTGCCCTTCATGATCTCATCACTTCCTTCGTCATCTGATTTATCAGGGCCATCCTTTATGGTCATATGGCTAATTTCAATGTACTTGCGGTAGTATTCTTCGTCAGAGGAATCATGTTCAGAGTCAAAGTCCCTAATTCCCGCTTCATTGCCTGTCTCTTTTTCTCTTTGGCAGCCTTTGCACAGCAGCTGCACGAGCCTTGGCTTCTTCCTCCTGTGATTTCTCCTCCTACTTTTGCGGGGTATGTCAGCAGGATTGGGAAAGTCAAATCTCAAACTCTTGGGTAGTAAGTGTGCTCGGAAAGCAACATTACTTAGGGCATTTTCTAACACAAGCAGACACATTGACTTTTCTGTATATCTAGAGCGATGTTTCATCATCAACCTAGTATGACTAGAGCGGTCATTGAGAACCCTGTCTCAATGACTATTCACGAGAGACTCAGTCATGAGTCGAACTCAAACCCTATCTAGGATCGAGTCGCGAATAGGGCTAAGAGCCGTGTATTGCACTGGTGCTCTCCTTTTCCTTCCTCTCCATGCGAGAGAATCTCTATAGGGTTGTTGACGTCTACCATGTTGGCATCATTTGCATCTGCTGCTTGTGAGACTTCTACGGGATCTGGATCTGCTGTGAAATGGCAGTGTTCTGGGATCTGCTGACACCACAACAGAAAAATGGGGGACATTGCTACATGTGTCGTGTTGTGTGTAAGTAGGTTGGTTTGGACCTTTGGCTAGTCCCGGCATCTCGGTTTGTTAGACAGCTGGTAGATCCCAGGATCAGCTTGGAACTGTTTCTACCCACACTCATGCCCTTGGGTTTCTGTTTCCACCCTGTCCTCTAATCGCTGTGGTCTGTTTCCACCCACACCCTTGACCCATTCTCAAGGGTGTGGGTGGTAACAGAGTTTATTCACTGTGCCAATTTCAGTACCAGCCACAGTACCACAGCCCCTACTCCCACGCAGCTGAGTCATGTAAAGGGAACTGAATCAGGCTGAAAACAACGTGCCGACTCTATTTGGGCAACAGTGCCTGTTACCCACAGTTTCATACCTATTACCAGTACCCCCATAACTTTCCTAGCTACCGGCAGCAAGGTTGCAAAAACATGTGCTCAGAAGCTCAGGAGCTCAAAAGCCAAGAATTATTGTCAAGAATCAAGTGTTCGGCTTGGCTTAGCTTCCACAGAGATAATCTCCTACTCTAACTAAACCCTCGTCATGCGAGATCGAAGTTGAAGTTTGGGGCCCTTTTCTGCCAGTTTGTTAAGCCAATGGTTGCCCCCAAATAAATCCTCTCTCCCCCATGAATGTACTCTGGGACATCCCTGTTTTAAAAAAGGCAGAAAGGACGAGACCCAAGACCCAATGACCCAAGCTACTCTGCAGGAAAAGTCCGGATTTGCTTTCCCGTCCAGTCAAATCTAGCTTGTTTGGCGGAAACGTCAGGATTTCTCAACCATATTGGTTAGGGATAGGGTCACTCACACTGGTGTGAAATGAACCAAAATCCGGACATTCTTCCCCATCCGGACTTTTCCTCCAGAGTAGCAAGGGTGTTTGTCAAGATCCGGATGAGAGAAGAGCAAATAGCACAACTCTAATCCATAGTAACTCCCCATCAACCATCAACAACTCCCAAAATTGGTAGGCAACAACCATGACAACAAAGAACAACAACAACGCTGCTCCTGTATTCAAGTGGCGAGCTCGTCTTCTTCTGCCGCTGTGGTGTTGGCTTGTCGTGGTGAGGGCAGTGCCAGTTGCGTCACGAGAGGTTTTTATCGAACAACCGGCGGCTTCTTCGAATAACGGTGGCCTCCAGCAGCACAAAACTCCATGTCGACGACACGGACGTCGCAAAGGACGACGAGCTCTTACTTAACAATCATAAGGCTCACGATAACGCCGATCCAGAGCAGGCACCGGCCCAAAACGAAGCGAATGACCTCTTATCATCGCAAGTACAGGTAGGAATGTCTGCCGATGCCAAGGAGGAGACGACGCCCCGCCACGATGAAAAGCCCCCAAGCCGAGTCCAGCGACAGCAGGTACTAACACCCGAGGAGGACACCACAAGCCGGGTGGAAGCGACCGAGGAAACGAGTGACCCAGCATCGCCATCCGGCCTCCGAGGTGTGGGCAGAAAACATCCGGAGGGCAACGATCGGCCTGCATCCTCTACGGAATCAGAGGGAAACACGAGCAAGATAAACGGCACATCCTTCAGTCGCCGCCAACAAGATAACGCCACCGCAGAAACACCGGGGAGGGACCGGTCCATCGTCGAAGAAAGCCCGCAGAGAGAGAGTGCTTGCTACTGCTACACTGGAATCCCCTCTTATCGCAGTCGCCGAATATGCCTGCAATGATTCCACAAGACAACTCCTCCAAGAAACCATTCAGCTAGACTTGCCAGGAGACTGGCATCCGTTACTGGATCCCAGCCTACTAAATGACGAGTCCAACTATTATAGCTCGAGCGCCTCGCATGCCTTGGCATTGGCGGCTGTCGCAACCTACAACGAACTCTTGTTCTCGCTGTGTGATTGGCCACACTTTCGAGTCATGCTTTCCACAACGGTATCCTTGGTGAATCGATCCAGGGAGGAGTCCTCCTTCTTCGTTTCCACGGGCGC